AGTGCTGCGGTATAATAGACTTCCACAAAATATAAAAAGTGCAGACAGCCTGGCAATATTTAAATTAAGACTAAAAGACCATCTCTTGAGTGATCCCAGTTATCTACGTAAATGAAAGTCCACCCAAGTTCTACTTCGCAAATTCATCCTTGAAGCTCTTCAATGACCCTCGACGTGATAAATTGTATCTTTAGTATATAAGTTCTCATGTAAGTGACTATTGTCTGTTATGAGATTAAATGTCTAACCTAACTATTTCAGAACCCATAGCCGAAGTGACTGTAGGTAGCTATCTAGTTAGTAAGTGTAAGATGGTTCTTACGCTTACTAAAATAAATCTAAATAAACAGCTGTTTATTTATTATAACAATGCATTATAATGTGTAAGATTTGGGAACCCTTTTAAGTAAAAAATACCTGCTTCCCAGCTTTAAGAGACCCCCACACTAGCGTCTTTCGAGCGTCGTCGTCGTGTCAGCGTCGCCGCGGCGTCGACGACGCTCGAAAGACGCTAGTGTGGGGGGTCTCTAACTATCTACATAGTAAGTGTAAAATGATTATGTGTAAAAGTTTTATTGCACAGTAATTTGTAAAAATATATACATCAAGTTAATGTACTGCGTTGCGACAGCATTAGCCAACATCGATTACAAAATGTACACAAACGAAACTAAACATGAAATATTTTAATTTTTACTTCAACGCCCAACGGTAACCACCGTGAAATGGAACTGAAACAATGGAACTGGTAATATAAATAATAAAGTTGGAAGGTTGTGATCAAAACCTAGATCTTAATGTCATGTCTTTTGATTTATTAACAGATGGCTTCATTAAAAAAATACACCTTAATTCTAATAATTAAGAAATAACATAAAAAATTAAAAATAAATCACTGGTGCTACAACCTTTTTAGGTCTGGGCCTCAGATTTCTGTATCTGTTTTATGATCATTTGTCAACCTAATAGGCAAGTAGTGATCAGCCTCCTGTGCCTGACACATGCCGTCGACTTTTAGGATCTAAGGCAAGCCGGTTTCCTCACGATATTTTCTTTCACCATTCGAGCGAATGTAAAATGCGCACATAGAAAGAAAGTCCATTGGTGTACAGCCGAGTATTGAACCTACGACCTTAGGGATGAGAGTCGCACGCTGAAGCCACTAGGCCGACAAAGGGTAATTTTAGGTTGTTTGTTATCATGTCTAGTTATTTTAATAAGAGGTGGACCTAATATAACGAAGCAATTGTTTTGTAAAGTAAATTATAGCCTAACTATTTGCAACTAATAATATTAATAATCCAGTGGCGCTACAAATCTGCCTTAGTCTCAGATTGAATTCGTTTCTTTGATGTGCTAATTGAATAAAAAAGGGTGCGTGTACTTATGTACGCGCGTAAGAAGTTATACTTCTTTGGCATTATTAAAAATAGTTTTTGATTGCATGCAAATAATTAATTACAATTAAATAATCAAAGACTGGAAAAGGAGTCATTAAAGTCAATAAAGTTCAGTTTACATTTGAAAAATTAATTAAATAAATATTTATTATTATTCTCTTACATTAAACAAATAAAACACTATTTATCTTTAAAACATTTTTATTTCATTATACTATTTATTTTTAAGTGACTCTAATGTCTTCATCAGAATTTCGGTTTGTAATTTTAAATTAATCATTACTTGGTTGTGCATCTACGAGGCTTCTCCAAAACTACTTGCTTTCTGCAACAAATAAGAGAATATTAATTTAAGCTCTGTCCATGCAAAACTTAAAATTTTTTATAATTCATATTATAATTTTTTTAACACATTTATATTAATATAATTATATAAATGTGTTAATAATATAATTTGTAGCACATGCTACAGACCTGGATAGCAACTTTCTTTTATTCTATTTAGAGATAGAGATAATTTAAATATAATACCGGTGTCTTCCTTGTAGGTTTCTTTGGAGTTGTTTGGGGATTCTTGTTGTTCAGTTCGACATGATTTTCTTTAACCTTTCTTTAATCCTACAAAATAATGAAATTGTTAAGTTATGTTGTCACTGTTGTGCACACAGTGTTTGTTTGGCTTTTTTAGTATTCAAGTTATGTCAAAACTGATTTATTACCTTGTCATTGTTGGCTTTATTTGCTTTTGGGATATCAATTGTTTCCAAAATGATTTTATTTGTAATAACCTGAAATATATAAATAACATCTATTAATTTAAGTATCATGGTGAGTGGTTCGCACTCAGGTATTAAGGTGTATTATACCCACTGTCCATTATAAGTGGGAATGGGCTCACTTCTGGCAGGACAGAGTTTCGGTACTACAAGTGCAACATGGATGTTTTGAGGTATTACAATATCTCTAACTACCCTGTAGGGGAATAAAGTAATGTTGTAAGCATATGCCTATGCTTGAAAGGTTGAACCTTGAACATCACCATACATCATATTTATAATTAACATTCCTACCTCGACACCATCACAATCAAATTCATTGAAATCTACTTCAAACCATTGTGTCTCGAGAAGGTGATGGTGGCTTTGTTCCACCTCCAGTTTTTGATGTTTCACGGCGATAAGATGACAACTCTTTTTTTGTATTCAATTTAGTGCACTTCCACTGATTCATCAATTGTTTTTTGTCTCTTGTCCTTATATTTGCTAGATTAAATCTGATGTTTTGATTAAATAATGTGGTCATTTTTTTGAGATGCAGGTACTTATTAAAATGTTTACTTCTCTGTTATATCGCTCCAAGCCTTCATTTTCTCCTTATTAGTATTCGTGCTTAAATCTTTGTTCTCAATTATTGATATATAGGGTCGTAGAATATTTCTAAAAAGTTGCTGTAACAAACGCAATAAACAAAAGCAATGAATAAGGGTTCATGTTTCAGTTTTAATCAACAATAATACTCGATAATACATACGGATAGTTAACCTCAATTGTATTGAAGCACTCAGGAAGGTTAGCACAGTTTTTTCACAAATATTTTATATTATTTCACAAATATTTTGTATAATGAAAATAACTAGGTATATAATTATTAATTTTAAACAATAATTAAAACTCCTATATTTGTTTAAAAGGTAAATGTCATTGTCAGATGTCAATTGTCATGGTCATTCAAAATTCTTGTTAAGCTGCTAAGCTAGAATATGCGTGAAGTTAGCTTCACGCATATTCTATTTCTTTTTACTTGTAGTTTGTCTTATTCCCATCTCGCTCGCGCACGCTATATCACACTGCCAATTTTGTGTCATAGGTGCGCGCTCAATCGTAAAACTTCACTCTCATCAATTTTTCATAACGCGCCTAAAGAAGTACAACTTCAAAAAGAAAATTACATTGGTGCCGTGATTCGAATGCACGACCTTAGGAATTCACGCTTAAGCCACTAGGCCAACTCTCTTGTATGTTATTTTTTACTAACATACAAATTAACAATTTTACATTTTGAAATGCTATACAATCTAGAAAATAATGTAACAATACAATTGCTATGTTTTTGAGAAATTCATTTGTAAAATATTAAACTAGTATTAAAACTAAAACCAGTATTCACAATATTTTACCAGTTCCATATTTCTTTATTATTTATTACAATTTTTTCCACTGTGATGGATCACAGGAATATTTAATTTAATATCGTAAAAGTTAATATACAAACGCTCAATATATTATGATGTACAGGCAAAAACGGCGGATAGTTTGAATATATTTTTAAAGTTATAACCAGAAGGTTTGCCAGAATTTAACGAAAAAATAAATAAATCAGTGGCACTATAACCTCTTTAGGTCTGGGCCTCAGATTTCTTAATTATTAATCATCTAATTATTTACAGTAATAAGAAAAAATATATTTCTAATACACTATCAGTCTCAGACAGTTTCATTACAACCAATAAACTTATTAATCGCCATTAAACTTAAAAAAACATCTTTGACCACCATTGTCCAGATCTAAGATTATTATAGTCACCTCGACGTCCGTCGTTCCACAACTGAGCGTTTCTTAAGGTAATTTCTGCCGCGCACCACCAATATGTGGAACCAGCTGCCCACTGACGGTCCTTCAAGAAAAGAGAAAAGTTCGGCAGCGCGCTTGCGAGCCTTCTGGCAGTGCGAGTGTCCATGGGCGGCGGTATCACTTAACATCAGATGAGCCTGCTGCCCGTCTGCCTCCTGTAACATAAATAAAAAATAGAGGTTTGATAACCCGTTTATATATATATATAGATGTAGAACCACCCAACTTTATAGTAATTAAAAATAAAAATTATATGTGAAAAACAAAACATTAAAAAATATCATTAGCGCAAATCGTTAAAAATATTACTTTATTCTAAATTAAGTTTTTCTTAGGGAGGGTTTTGAGTTTTTTTTAAACATGTAACTCACGCTACTTTGGACATGGTTTCTTTTTTATTCATAATTAATATCGTGTCCTTGTTTGTAGCCCGTCCCATATCTCACAAAGGCCAACCTTTTTGAAGTAATTACTTCGTTTCAAGTTAATCCGACGTTATTAAACTGTCTTGGAAAATATAGATGAAATTTTTTAACTTTTGTCCCTTGAAAAGATTTTATACATTTTACTATATTACAAACTATTCGATATCAAAATTGGCTTTTATCAGTAATTAATCTAAGGCAATTATCACGCGCGAGTAAATCTTTTATTCAGTAAAAAATAAAAGTACCTTAGCATATCAAACTCAGAGGAGATACCACCTTACATTCAGTTTCTAATTGTACGCCGACTTAGCCACTACAATAATAATTGCAATAAATCGCGCGCCAAATACATGTAAAAATAATTTGATCTGTGGTCGAATTGCAATTCTATTTTCAAATCGATTTTTTCACTATTAAAAAAAGGTCATAGTCGGCTTAACTCTGTTAGCTCCTGTTCCATTTTCAAACAATTAGTTTTCAGCCAGCACGCAGACAAAAGAGGTTGAATTCGAAAATGAATTAGTGCGATAGAGGGATCAAAATGTCGAATACATGGATACCACCGGATATTACTCCCGTCTGCGAGACGGCACTGGCACCTTTGACGCAGTGCTCCCAAACTGGCTACATGTTTTTGGCCCTAGTGACGCAATTATTCGGGAAATCCATAGACAAAAGGTATTCAAAAGTGAACCCATTTTCCCCGGAACATGATACATTTTACAATGTACAAAGGTTTCCCTCTCGCGGTGTTTCCAGGGCATATGAGCCGTTTACATCGTATCAGACGAATTTCGACTCTCATCCGCCACACACACAGACTCATATGGAATATTCAAATATACCGAAATTTGATTTTGAAGATTCCTTCAAACATTATTCGAATAAGGAACCTGTTTTTGAGTTTAATTTTGATGGACGTGCCGATTCAGCCTTTGCGGCTTCAAAGAAAACCGAAGTGAAGGAAAAAGTAAAAGAAAAGAAAAGGAAAAAGAGGCATATACAGGAATATGACTTCATTATAGTTGGAGCTGGCTCAGCTGGGTGTGTTTTAGCAAACCGATTATCAGAAGTCAAAAAATGGAAGGTATGTGTATCAAAAGTATATAATATTGCACTAAATATAAATTATTATATTATGGGCCCTTAGATTTAAACATTATAAACTCATGAAGTTGACTCATTTTAAGAAAATCAATCAATTATTTGCGACAACTCATATTATTCTAACAATTTAATAGTTTATTGTCAGCTTTCGTTGCACATGGATTTATAAATTAAATGTAAAAATTAGTATAATAATGCTTTACATTAATTCTTTAGTGAAAGCAAGTGACTAAAAGGTAATTCAAATTCTAATTAGGATAGATATAATTCGTTGAAACCTGTAAAAACATAATTGAAAAGAAATAATTAAAAAATTTTTAAGCGTTTCCAAACGCGGCTGACAATAGCATATAATTTCAGCATTATTGCACAAGTCACAAAATTAAAAGCGCCATCTAACGTTTCAAACGTTATTCTTGTGCGCCAGAGCGTTTAATTAGACTGATTTATTTAATGGCTACATTGTTATTTGAGGTTTGTTTATTTTTCACGGCCGAATTGCATTTGCACTGATTGATTTAAGCAATGTTGGTAAATAGTACATGTATTTTAATATCACTTTTATAGCGCGGACACGGGACAGTGTTTGTTATAAAGTTTTTGTATAGAGAAGGATGAATATCAAATCATAAAAGTTGGTCATTTATCATTATAAATATATTATCATTTATTATTATAATAAATGACCAATAAAAGTTGCACAGACTACTATTTGAATGTCACATTGACACATGACACATAATTGACATTCAATTGATAACATTTTAGTCTTTGAACTTATGGTCGAACTATATTTGATTTTACTTCTTAAGCAGTTGGTGACCAGAATACCATGCACACCTTGTTCGTAAAAATAATTAAGTGTAATGGAGATAACGGCATCCTCATCACAAAAGTTTTATTAGTGACTCAATTGATCATGTTTCGATAGCATTCGTATAAATCATATTTTAAGACGGTTTTTCCTTCACACGAGCAAATGTCATTTAACCAAATAAAATAAATAAATGCATTTAAAATTAAGTATTAACTCCATCTTTAGGCGGAAAAGCATAAAAAGTCAAAAATCATTAATTTATGTAGGTAACACAATGTACACTAATGAACGTTAAAAAAAAGAAATATACATTAAATACTTCTAATTTTACATTTACTGCCAGTTCTCAAATCAAGGGCGTAGAACGGAAGAGAAGAACTGGCAATAAACTCTCCGCCACTCTTTTTAGTCGCCAAGTTTTTTGTTTTACACATCGTTTGTAAGGAGCTGCAACCGTTACACCATGTTCCACATGACATCTTAAGTAATATGTCATATGTCTACTTCCTTCTAGGGACTTATTTATACATTTAATTAAATAAGCTACCATGCCAGATTACTCTTATTTACATATACTTCACATATAAAAAAAAAAAATTGTGCGTGTACTAGGTGTACACACGTAAGAAGTGAAACTCCTTTATGATCTTATTTTTCGAAAAATGATCTACTATATGCAACTTTACAGAAATTCGTTAAATTAGATGAAGTTTAACAAAAGGCTTTTATTATCATAGACATGAATACAAATATTTCATTTTACCTTATTACTACGAAGATTATTATAGAATTTCATTAATTGTAATAGAATTATTATTATCATTGAAAAACGTGACGATTTGCTACAAAATAAAGAAGTTTCATTTCAACGCCGATAAAGAAGTTTGACTTCATTAATGCAACATTAAATAGTTATTGTATAAATATTAACAGAACGACTAATTCTTTCCTGTATAGGAACTAACCGGAAACAAACCTTTTGTCAGTTCACTCAACCGACGTCACGGAAAATCTAATTAAGCGGCTTTATCTGTAATCAGTATTCAATGAGAATAATAGCGTAATTCGATAAAATAGCAAATTGGTATGAAACACTTCGCGTGACTCAATTTTGCAACAAGCTGAGAAAAGAATTTCTTGTGTTATTTTCCTTTCATAACCAAGGTGAGCGTGGGATAACTGTTCACATAATTGTTGATAACGCTTCCTCTAATGAATTTATCCGTACGAGCCGTATGGAAAAAAAATCTATTTAAAATATCAAAAAATATCTAATCTATGGTGTAGATTATGGTGATGTTGGTGAAATCACCAATATTACATTATTTTATAACTACGACGTCACATTAATCTACATTTACCACAAATCACAATGTTATATTCAATTAATATGTAAATGTACCCAAAAGTATTTGATTTAGTCGATTTTTAAAGATGATTTAGTGAGAAAGAATAATAGAATAGAATAATACTTATTAACGAGCACACAAATGAACACACTAAAGAAATATTAATCTAAAAATTTCATCGGTATTGTATTTTAAATTGTGATTTATGAACCTGAAGATTAGATTTAGTTTTTGAAGTGAAACTTCTTTATCGGGGTTGGAAAAAATTTTAGTGTAACATTTTTCCGTTACGCGCCATGTTGCTTTTTGAAGTCAAAGTTCTTTATCGGCGTTAAAATATGACATATAGTATGTTTTTGACTTTGAAGTTTGACAACGGATTACATTTTCGAAGTCAAACTTCTTTATCGGCGTTAAAATATGACATATAGTATGTTTTTGACTTTGAAGTTTGACAACGGATTACATTTTCGACTTGAAATTTGCTAATCGCAATTTGCAGCAATTAATTTGTAAATTGTATGCTAGGCAGTGTATCAAAATTTACTGTGTTTAAAGAAATAGTTTCTAATAAGGTCATAAAGAATACACCTAGTACACGCACACATTTTTTTTTAATTGAAGTGAAACTTCTTTATCGAGGTTGGAAAAAAATTTAGTGTAACATTTTTTCGTTACGCGTCACATTTTTCGGTTACGCGCCATGTTGCTTTTTGAAGTCAAAATTCTTTATCGGCGTTGGAATGAAACTTCTTTATCGACGTATGGGAGAAATTTTGTAGCAAATCGTCACGTTCTTCAATGATAGTAATAATTCTATTACAATTAATGAAATTCTATAATAATCTTCGTAGTAATAAGGTAAAATGAAATATTTGTATTCATGTCTATGATAATAAAAGCCTTTTGTTCAACTTTATCTAATTTAACGAATTTCTGTAAAGTTGCATATAGTAGATCATTTTTCGAAAAATAAGATCATAAAGAAGTTTCACTTCTTACGTGTGTACACCTAGTACACGCACAATTTATTTTTTTATAATTAGGTAATTGTTTAATTTTTCATTGTTATTTGTAATTTTATTTTTGTTAATTCAATTATGGACATTACCCTTGGCATTTCGTTTTTATTCCTTACTGGGGTTGTCTGATAGAGATCGCTTTAAGGCCTAAATTGCATTCCTAATAATTTATGTTTCTTGTTTTTTTCTGTAATTTTTTATTAAATATACCCAAAAAGGTAGGTGCGCAGCGCTACCTGTGCTGACTAGGGCAAGCCTTGTGACCATAGCACTGTTTCGGTAAGACCATTGTGTACTCGCGAGACACGCAACACAAAGTTTTTAGTAACAATATAAGAGATGTAAAAAGTCCCTACTACCCTGAAGTAGAAGGAAAAAGAAGACAATTGTGTGTATAGGAACGTATAAAGATCTTTATATAGTAGCGCTATTTACAAAATTATGTAACAAATATACAAGTACTTTCAATTAGTCATAACGGGCTATACATTAGAACTGAATCCATTTTGAGCTTCTGCGACAATAATAAAAATATTTTCTCGCTGAAAATCAAACCTGCCATGGCATACATATTCCACAGGAACTAAATTTTTCGAATAAATGTACTATATCAGGCATGTAGAATAACGAACATTAAGAGAAAGTTATTAAAATAATTTTAATTAATAAAAATCATTCACTCAGTCACTTATTTATTGACACAGCTCTTAATCTGGGCCTAAAATTTTTGTTTATTCGTAATTTTTTCATCATAGGCAATTAAGTTGTATGCCTGACACACGTCGCATTATTGAATACAAAATTCCATTCGTATCACCTCGGCGTCTGTTGTTCCACATCTGAGCGTTCTTTAAAGCAGTTTTTGCCGCGAACCACCGCTATGTGGAACCACCTGCCCACTGAAGTATTTCCGAACCAATTCGACTTAGGGTACTTCAAGAAAAGAGCATATTCTTGAAAGGCCGGCAACGCACTTGCGAGCCTTCCGGCAATGTGAGTGTCCGTGGGCGGCGGTATCACTTAACAACAGGTGAGCCTCCTGCCCGTTTGCCTCGATTACATAAAAAAAATCGATTATGGTTCTGAGACATTGTGTTTTGCTTCTACAAGGTTTAAAATTAAAATAAATTTAATAAGCAATATTCTATGATGGTGTTTTGTGAATGATTAGATTATAAACAGAGCAAGAAATCGTAGTGTGACGTAAGTTCAAGGTCAATTGCTAAATTAAACTTGACATTGACAGAGATTTTCTTTAAACAACCTTTACCTACTTTCGAATATTTAATACCATTTTTTATTGTTAAAAGTCTATTAATGTAAACTAAATGAGTATAAAATTCGGATATTTAAATTAGAAAGGTTGACCTTTGAAACCCTAAACACAATACAACCTTATTAGAAAGATTTGTTACCATGGTAACCGTTGCACATAGAAAACTAAAGAAAAAGTAAATCATCATCGTTACTATGGCAACGGGGAATTTGTATTTAAATTAAAGGCGTTTATATTTATGACGGTTATACAATATTATTTATTATTATATATATAGTAGCACCACTGATACAAACCCTGTATTTCTACCCAAAACATCTGCTTTTATCTATTGTACAAAAATCACAGTCCTGTCCTAACAGGTGATCCTAAATAAACAAGAATATCTATAATAAATCACAGATGAAACAAAAACCAAACACTGGAAATTAATTTAGAAAACAATGCTAAAAAATTACATTATAAAATAATTAATTAACTACTATAGGCATGAACAAATAGTAGAAAATGCTTACATAATCTATAATCATATCTATGCGCAGAATGAAATGTAAATAACACTAAGAATATCTGAACTAAAACAATGAGGGAATAGTGAAAAAGTTTTACAATCCATTTCTTAGTTTGTGTTGTCTAGATTCCACGGTTTTATTGTAAAATATATTAAAATCAACTTCATTGTGTGGTTGTAGGAGTGTTGTTTAATCTCATTAACGCATAGATTAATATTATGAATAGAATCGGAATTCTGACAGCTCAAGTCCTTCTACCCATAAATTATGAGATTATTAAAGTAAATAAATTGTGCGTGTACTAGGTGTACACACGTAAGAAGTGAAACTTCTTTATGATCTTATTTTTCGAAAAATGATCTACTATATGCAACTTTACAGCAATTCGTTAAATTAGATAAAGTTTAACGAAAGGCTTTTATTATCATAGACATGAATACAAATATTTCATTTTACCTTTATTACTACGAAGATTATTATAGAATTTCATTAATTGTAATAGAAGTATTACTATCATTGAAAAACGTGACGATTTGCTACAAAATTTCTCCCATACGTCGATAAAGAAGTTTCATTCCAACGCCGATAAAGAAGTTTGACTTCAAAAAGCAACATGGCGCGTAACCGAAAAATGTGACGCGTAACTAAAAAATGTTCCACTAAATTTTTTTCCAACCTCGATAAAGAAGTTTCACTTCAAAAAGTACTTATTATTGACTCATGTCAAACGATAATTATAATTTAGTTAAATAATATGTACTTTTTGGAAACTTGTACGCATTTTTAATTTTTCCGAATTCGGTTAAAACCTTTTTGGTGGCAACTAAAAGAATCTTTAATTCAAACTGGTCGCACACTGCTATTGTCACGTCGACGCTTTGAACTTTTTAAAAAAGGAACTATCAAAAATATCTCGCGTAACGTCAGAAACATGATTTTTTTATTAACTCCGAGCTCGTCACAAGAGCAAAAAGTATTTGATAAAAAGAGTTGGTATAGTTTTTTTTGTTTGGATATATTTTCTTTTTGATTTAAAAAATCTATGCGTGGTTTTGCGGTGATGAGTTTCTTTCTATATTTGAAATAAGAATTTGCGAATGATACACATTTTAAATTTTGTTAGACATTGTAACACAAATGTTTAATACAATTATTAAATAACCTGACAAAGCAAATAGTGTTAAAAGTTCCTTGATTTAAATCTGTCTATAACTCGTGAGCGATGCCAGAGACTTATTAATCTAGAATATAGACAGTTTAAACTTTGAAACTCAATCAAACTCTCAAAGAAAATCGCTTTTAATTTTGCATATTAATTAACTATTTTAGTTAGCTGATTTTCAAAATATTTGTTCCTTTGTTTTGAATTTAAGTTTATCATAAGAAGCAACTAAAAGGCCAGACTGGCATAGAGATGCTTTCGTTTTAGCTTTTAAATTCTCCAGCGTGGACTAAAGGCACCAAGAATATAATTTATTTATTGTTATTAATTCTTAATTTATTTTTCTTTCTTAGCATTCGATATTTAAATATAATAGAGCCTACTTCTATAATGCGATACTTACCGCTATTTTAGACAAACAATCTAATATATAAAATTCTCGTGTCACATTGTTCGTTCCCATACTCCTCCGAAACGGCTCAACCGATTCTTATGAAATTTTTTATGTATATTCATTAATTCTGACAATCGGCTACTATCTTTATTTCAACCCCCTAGGTGAAAACGATTGTCCAACCCAAAAAAATGATGAAAAATAAAAAAATGACGATTAATGATATATCATATAAAAATACACACAAGCCAAGAAATAAAAAAATGTTTGCTAGAAATAATATACATGGCAAAACAACGTTTGCTAGTATTCTATAAAATCAGATATCAAAATATATTAAGTCTGATTTCAGAGTCTAATTGAGAAAAACTATATTATAATAGAAAATATAAATCACCGATACGATACCGTCAATTTTCGCCATAATTTTCGTCTAAAATCTTACTTTATTTATGTTTAACACTCAACAGATCCTTCTTCTCGAAGCCGGGCCGGAGGAGCCAGACGTGACAAGCGTGCCAGCATTCGCGACAATATTGGGCAATTCAAATATAGACTGGATGTATAGAACTCAGCCAGAAAAATTGACCTGTCGCGCACAGAGGGGACAGACTTGCGCCTGGTTCAGGTAATAAGCAACTTGTATCGAATGCCTGTGTATGTCATTTTATAATAGCTAAAAGGTTTTGGAAGTAAAACGGAAAATATAACTTTTCAGCGTTTTGAGTAAGACATACATAAAAACTAGAGCAGTGTTGGCCTAGTGGCTTCCGCGTGTGACTCTTATACTTAAGGGTCGTAGGTTCGATTCCCGGCTGTGCACCAATGGACTTTCTTTCTATGTGCGCATTTAACATTTGCTCGAACGGTGATGGAAAACATCGTGAGGTAACCGACATGTCTTAGACGCAAAAAGTCGACGGCGTGTGTCAGGCACTGGAGGCTGATCACCTACTTGCATATTAGCTTTAAAAATGATCATGAAACAGATTCAGAAATCTGAGGCCAAGACCAAAAAGAGGTGGTAGCGCCACTGATTTATTTATTTATACATAAAAATTAAGTTATTTCACTGTTTTAAATTACTTGTTTTTTTTTGAAAAATTTGAAAATTTGAAAAATTTTCACTGTGCATACTATTACTAAGAAAAATTCAGAGACTTAGGGATAAAAGTGGCTCCCGTATTTCAAAATTGTATGCGGGAATCTAGGTCTTTAACTAACAAAGCTAACTTTAACGTCAATTTAAGCCACTCGTAAAGTTTAAAATAAGGTAACTTCAGTTAATTTGAATCAAATGGGCCTTTGCTTATTACAATCAGTAGTTAATATTGTTTTCTGTGTCTCATTAAATGTCTATAAATAAACATTTACTTTATTTAAAACTTTTTTGATAATCCACAGATTTAAAATAAATATTTACAATACATATTTAAATTAAAATTATAGCCAAAACGGACACCATCAGATGAACATTATGTACTAATAAAGACATTGTACTAACAAAGTGTTGAGGTGTGTGTGGGAATGTGCAATGTATATGTGTGTGTGTGCGCTTTAGGTGACCTTAAAAATTCATTCCACTTGATTATTTCGTTCAAAAATTGGCGTTTGGAGATAATATGGAACAAGTCCTCGCATACATCTAAGTATATTATTTTGAGCATACACTGAATTATATATTATAATAATTATTTCATTAATAATATAATTACATTATACAGAGAATGTCCATGCCATACGTGGTTACGCAACGAACAAACTAATCGTTTTTGCACTAAACATTACATTCGTAAATGTGTGTAATTAGAGATAAGGTCTGAATCAATGAGCGACCAAATGACGAGAATTTATACTCGTTTGTTGCTAATGTTTGTGCGAAGCCTGCTAATTTATGCCCACCAGTTTTACACTTGAATTAGAATGGATGTGGGGAGAATTGTAAATGGCTAATTCATTTACCTTTATTTATTTAGATCTATTCTAGAAGCACAATAACTTATCCTACCTAATAATATACTACTTACTTTATTTATTAAAAGTATTAACTTTACTCACTTGACCGTCGCTGTAGGCCTTGAGGGGATACTATAGTATACGGACCACAGGTTGTTTTGGTTGTAGAGCATCAAAATAGCATCAGCGCCACCTCTTATTTTATTTCTAACCCTATACTGACCAAAACAAACCGCTTCCCAGTTAAAATAAAAAAATTCTAAATTGTCAAAATCAATCATAGTTGATCAGTTTCAGTTGAACAGTTATTTAAAAAAAAATATTAATATACTAACCTAACAATAATAATAATAGATTTTTTGGACAGCTCCGGCGCTACGGGAAATGCAGCCCCTCCACCCTCTTGCTCGGGCCTGCTCTGGGCCTGCTCTTCCTACGCGCCTCCGATTTTTTATATACACTCTAGGGGTAGGGTAGACAAGACCACGTGGATAGTGGGGTGCTCTGATTCGGTTTTGGGTACTTTTTGAATAATTTCAAAATTTTCGGAACACTATAAAAATTTTGACCTTTTTTTAAAATTAGAATTATCAGCTAAATTTGCTTAGGAGTGCCTTCTTTGACCTAATAAAATCTTTTTCTATCATATCTAATAGTTTTCAGTGCAAAATATTTATGGTCCGTATACTATATAATGTCCGGCCTTGACAGCTTAGCTCAAGCTGTTGTGGTGAGCGTAGACCAGCCGAAATTGATCTGCTTCATATATTCAATCTACAAACACTATATCCTGATGTTGCATTGTTTCACTGTGGCGTTTAACACAGGCAAACGCCATCTGTTGATAATTAAATAACACAAATTAAGTAATCAATTTAGACTTAACTTGACTTAGCTTAAACTTAAAAATGGCACATTAAAGTGACATGCTGTCGTTTAATAATAATAACAGAAGCAAAAACCTAATAGTTAAGAGCACGATTCTCAACTTGGATTTTTGTGTGCACAATTAATATAGTGCTTCTACGAAGGCAAATGTACTAGTAGGTACTCTGTAATTGAAACTGATAACAACTTACATTTTCCACAATACAGCTGGAAAATTATTTATTAATGTATTAGGAAACAGGTCAATAATTGAAACGAAAGTCAAATAAAATATGAAGTTAGTAAATCAATTCTAGAATTGGCACTCTTATAATTTGTCGATTTCAATAATTATCGCCATCTAAATTTGAAACCCAATTTCAATGTAGTTCTAACAATAGCAACTTAAGTTTGAAATCAGAACCTCTATTATCGAGTAAGCCTGCCGCATTTGACGTCAAATCTATTTCAAAATATATAAAAAGTATACGAGAAAAACGCAAATTGCAAAGGTATTCGATATTGCACACAATAACAAGCCAACAAGGTCAAAACGCAAGGTTAAGTGAAAAGTTAAGCGAAGAAATCACGCGATGTTTACGTCAATATTAATTACTTCCATTTCTTCCTTTTTAATCTATTACCTCAAAATAAACTATACAATATACAACACAGTTAAACTATCATTGTAAATTTGTAATGTATTACCTACTAATAATTCACTAAAGAGCAGTGTTGGCCTAGTGGCTTCAGCGTGCGACTCTCATACCTGAGGTCGTATGTTCGATCCCCGGCTGTGTACCAATGGACTTTCTTTCTATGTGTGCATTAAACATTTGCTCGAACGGTGAAGGAAAACATCGTGAGGAAACCGACATGTCTTAGACCCAAAAAGTCGACGTGGTGTGTCAGGCACTGGAGGCCTGCCCATTAGATTTAAAAATGATGAAACAGATTCAGAAATCTGAGGCCAAGACCTAAAGAGGTTGGTAGCGCCACTGATTTTTTTAAAAATAATTCACTAAGCGGGGAAAAAATTGGCCGAGAATGTAAAACAAAAGACGAAACCAGGACGCGTTAGTTTCGATTGTCATCTGTCATGAGGAATGACAGATTGTGCCGCGCGTCTGTTATTGGGCAAGAAGTAATAACAAGACGTCAGATGAGTTGTCAATAAACTCTTATTAAAATTGCTAATTTATTTGCGACACATAACACTTACAAGATGAAATAAAAAACGCGATATTGTGAATTATCAATTCCAAAATAGCTTAAATATAGATAATATGCCAATTGGATTCATAAATTTGTTTCATAACAGGAAAATGCTTTATTCTTTTGTAAATGTAATAAGGTTCATAAGTAGTTATAACTTGGTTAATGAGCTATCAACAACCAGAAATACCAAAACAGGAAGTTGCACAGTTTCTGATTAATCGTCACTTTTACAGATAACTGGACAATGCGGGCCCGTAACAATAGCAACTGGTGCCAATCTACTAATGGATAATGGGCATTGGGCTCAACATTGAAATATTGGAGTCGCCTTAATGGTACCATTTTTCTACTATTTTTAGTACAATGAACGTGGATGGAATTTTTAGAGGTATTTTTCTTCAAACTGGTGTATGGAACAAAAAGGGCTCAAGAAATTACATCATAAGCGAATTATGAAAAATAAACCCCCTTATAAAAAACAGGTTTCGTTGTTTTAACTAAAGTATAATATTATCTCTTTTCATCACAGCGTAAACACAATTTGACAAAATGAGACGAGAGAGTAAGTTAGTTGAAAAAGTGCAAGTAGGCTTTAGTTTTTTTTGGATAAGGAAATCGTATATTTTTAAAAGTATCTAAAAAAATTTATTTATTGAAGTGAAACTTCTTTATCGAGGTTGGATAAAAATTTAGTGTAACATTTTTTCGTTACGCGTCACAATTTTCGGTTACGCGCCATGTTGCTTTTTGAAGTCAAACTTCTTTATCGGCGTTGAAATTAAACTTCTTTATCGACGTATGGGAAAAATTTTGTAGCAAATCGTCACGTTTTTCAATGATAGTAATAATTCTATTACAATTAATGAAATTCTATAATAATCTTCGTAGTAATAAGGTAAAATGAAATATTTGTATTCATATCTATGATAATAAAAGCCTTTTGTTCAACTTTATCTAATTTAACGAATTTCTGTAAAGTTGCACATAGTAGATCATTTTTCGAAAAATAAGATCATAAAGAAGTTTCACTTCTTACGTGTGTATACCTAGTACACGCACAATTTTTTTTTAATTAACACTTCGTTCCATTACAAATACAATAACTACAATTGAATAATTAGAAAGCCTTATCGCTTTCAAGCAACCATCATTTACCAACCAGATTGAAAGCAAATATTGACATTTCCCTACATATCTGTCATTTGTGACTAAGACAATGATTCTTAAGCACATCAGCTTAATTTTGCATAAAAATAAATAAACTTACATGGGTCGCACAGCCAGAGGACTGAGTTTGTGTGTGCGAAAAATATAGACACAAAAACAGATGGTTATATAATCTTACAATATAAGGGAATGAGTAGAAAACTTGCGCAGAATCATAAAAATAAATAAATCGTCACCCTCTACTATAAATTTATGTGAATATTATTTAAAAAATATTGTTTAGGTAATATGTAATTAGCATCTTATGTTATGTACCTTTCGTTTCCATATAACGGAATATGACAGTAAAATATTTCGGTAGTGTACGAGCCGTAGTATATTATATTTTGCACACTCAGGCTTCCTTAGTTTTATAAGGTTTTAT